ATATATAAATATATATATAAATATATCACGGCAGACGGCCCCAGTCGCATGAGGGAACGGCAGTTTGTCGCTGACAATGTATTTAAAAGAGATGGGGTTTTTTTACATTGGGGACGGGGAATGGTGTAAGAGTCCAAATGTAAGTCAGTCAGAAACCATGCATATTTGATCGTATCTGAGTGATATCATTGTCCCTGCCCGTGTTCGCAGGTCAACCTCATTCGTTTCCAAGTGTCTTTCCATCAGCTTGGCCATCTGTATATGGGGTGGAAGTGGGAAGCAGCGATAAATCAAGGAAATGGGAATCAGAACTTCACCTATCTACCTAAACAGTCTGTTGGGTTGTGTAGGCGAGTAGCAACAACGAATCCTACTAACGCTATTGATAGCTAGACCAATGCCCCAGAGGAACAATATTTGGAAGCTACCAACATCAGTTTGATGAAATGGGGAAATGAGACAAAACAGGATGGCATGGTGGGAAATTATGCGAGTTGGTATCCGTCAATTCGGCGACAGACAACTTCAAGCTAGAGAGCGGACGCATACAAGATACAAGGGTTGCCTTGGAGTTGCCGGAAAAGATGCCAGATTTAGCTGGAACTGCGGCAATTACGACCGTACTTGCGTGAACTTATTGGCTGTCGACAGAAACAACGATCCGTTGGCGAAAGTTCGGCGAATAAAGTAAGTTCATCAGTCCTGCCTGTCTAAGGCCACCTAAGAATGCCACAATCGACTTATCTTGACCATCGCCATACAGCACATAGCAGACGACACCAAGGATGGCAACAGAACACTATATCGGTTAGATATGGGCTTGATTGACCAAGTCAATACTAACTATGAGGTACTATGAATGCGTGATCCGGATTCAGCTTATTGATGTTACCGGCCAACAGTTTATACGAAGTGGTCTCATTCCCCTGAGTTTATACCGGGTAAAAGTCGTCCACATGCAGCCTAGGGTCAGTCACATATGTCGCTAACTATTCTCTGACGAAACCAAGCGTAATGGTTCGATCAGACAGGCAAACCAGGAAACGGATGTCCGTCCACAATGTACGCGCTTGTCGGCGACTTTGCTGGTTTAGATTATGTTACGGCGTTGTTTGGTGACGTTATTGTAGGCGAAGACTTGCGCACATGAAAAACCATCGTTATGATAATACTGGTGCAACGATGATTGTGGCTTTGTGTACGGTTAACGATGTTCTCGTAAATCAATAAGAGTCGATCGACTTGTCGCTATCGGTTGATACAACGAGACTGAACAATCAGATCGTTTGACTTATGAAAATCTGAATAAGATAACCCTTAGTTCCGAGCCTTTTGAATGCTAAATACTGCGAACAGAGGTGATTGCTGGATCTAAACTAGACGGAAACTGATTTTCTGGTATTTCGCACAAGTCCCCGTCAGGACACACGAGCAACAGACCTAAACATAGTCGCTGTTCATAGATTTTACTGGAGCCAGAAATGACTAACCATGAACAACCTTGCATTTAGAACACAATAAGTCGGACTGGCTAATTAGAGAACACCATTCATGTTCGATCCGGGTTTAGTTTACCGGTAGTGCAGGCCGAAGGTTTACTGAAAGCAGACACCATTAGTTTCAACCGTTAGTTTGTCCCCATCATGGTTTGCAAATGATCGTCACAACAAATTCTGGAGAATCCAAAGGATTAAGAATACAATGATGCCAGAAGTGGATTTTTGTGACCGCGGTTTATCAGGAAGGTCAGCTTCCTGAAAGTAACCACTGAATGCCCGAAATCTACCGAGACTCTCAGGTCCGCTAGATGTTAACCAGATAGACAACGCCCCCGCAATATGCAGCACATCGCAGCCAGACCGTGTGCGTCAGCATTGGACCAAGTTCAGACAGTGTCCTTCCAATAAAAAGCTTGAGGCCGTTGTACTTTTCGCACTCGCGCTCTCGCAACCACTTTTTTTGGAGTATAGCTATTGTGTTCCCTTCCGTGAGTCTTTTTCTCTCCGACACTAGGCACTGGAGCGGGTCAGCAGCAGATACCACAGGCCGGCGAATCAGCAGATATAACACGGTTGTACACAATAAACTGTATGCTGGCAAACACTAGTAAGCCACGCGTCGTGTTCGTCTTATGAGCGGTGGAAGTCGCTACCCGCATACCCTGGGGACTTCACCTGTTTAGTTGTCCCACCTGACTTGACAATTATAGAGCATCGACTGGCTGGCTACTGGCTTTAGAAATGCCTCGTCCTGTTCACCCTTCGGTCTTGTTGTTTCGGATACAAGGCATCCAGACGGTTGCACGTGCGGTTCAGTGCAAACCGCATTTGGTATTACCTGTCACGCGTGGAGTCTATCGACGAAGTCGGAAACGAGGTCATTAAGACCAACTTTCTGAGTCAGTGTCAGAAAGGTCAGATTCATGAATATAACCTCAGAAAATCCGAAAAGTACGGGGAACCGCCAATTCCACTGAAATCACTTCAGAATCTGCGTGCCAGAAGAGCCAACTATCGAGTGAACGTTCAAGAAGCCGACCAGCGACAACTGATGATCTTTTAGTGCTCAGGTGTGAACTATAAGCGGGGCCAATCGACCGGATTGCCTTGAATAAATGTCCGAAGTGCTGTTTCAATACCACATCGCTCCCTGTTACTTTGCACTCGATTGTTCGTAAGTAAGCTGTTGGGTGAGTCTGGAGCCGGGGTTTGCAGTCAATTACAACAGAAGGCGAATGACAACTCATTGTACCTGCAATAACGACCATCGGTACTAGTAAACACTGCGAATTTCACACTACGGCTGGTTGCTGTACAGTTAGAGAATCCCATACTTAGTGAAGTACTGTTGTTTGCACCCGTCCATATGTGCAGGATAGCGCGGTACGCGTTAAATAGAATTTTAAAGCAGTATGGATACAAGCGGAGTTGGAAATTCAACTAAAGGAAAACACCAAGTGGTGCGACCCCTTAATGATAATTTGACCTAAAACACTCGACCGCGAACTCCCAGGACAACCAACTGGTCAGGCTTCAGTGCTGCAACCATTCCGTGAACTACACCGGCTGGAACTCCATTCCACAAGGTGCAATCATACCAGGAAAGCCAACGGGGTGCAGCCCAACGAAGAACAACGGGTCACTGTATTGCTAAAAATCATGTTACGAGGCGGCCTGGAGGTAGCCTTACTGTCCTCTGCGATAAGAGCGTGGCTATGGTGAAGTGCATCCTTCAAGCGACCAGCACGTCCATATTTGTAGAAGATGCGATGCTGCATTCTCCTGAGCACGGATAGGTTAGAAAAGGTTGGCCCTGGAAACCGCGCACTCCGATTGTCCGACCGTTGACAATGACCACCAGCGAACACTTCGCAGGTGTGAGGCGTGTGCCAAACTGTGAGGCAGAATTATTTAGATTACGTAATATTTTTGGCGTTACCACGGCATCAAATCCAAGAAGAGCTATGTCGTCTGCGCACTCGGTATCTGTAAGCGAACGCCCCGGGAGCACTTGGACCCCACAGAAATTGGAAGCTGGTAGTGAGTCTTTGATAATCGTACCGATGACGAAGCTGAAGAGGAAAGGTGAAAGAGGGCGCCCAATCTGACGCCACTTGATGTGGTGTACTAAGGACAGAGAGCCACCCGTAGACTGAGAATTGGCATAGAAAACCAAGAATTTATGGGGTACACCTTTGCTCCGTAGACACTTCCACAGTTCCTGAGGTCCACAGAGTCAAAGACAGCTTTTAAGTCAGGGGAGACCACCATTGTTGGTTGCTAGAAGCAGAGTCGCCGTTCCGGAATCCGTCGGAGGGTGAAAATAAGATCGACGTATCCTCTTGAAGGACGAAACCTAACTTGGTTTTCGCGGATCTGCCTCTCACTGTGTTCAGTCAGACATCGAAGGATAAGACCAGAGAGCATCCTCAATGCCACAGTTACCAGGCTGATGTCACGGTGGTTTTCACACATCAACATCCCCATTCTGCAGGCACGTCTTCTTCCTTCTATATCGCGCCAACAAGCTTTGTTAGATGGGTCGCCAGGAATTCTTCGCCTTATTTGAAGAGGATTGGATACAGACCGTCCGGTCCTGGTGCCTTCTAACGTTGCGGTGCGGACCTTCCGTACTTTAGTTCTCCTTCCGACGGGCGACTGATGTTTACATTTCATTCGCCCCAGAGTTTGTTGTAGGAGGCTATCTAGACTGTTCTTCGAAGTGTTCGGCCTATCTTTCCAGTCGATGCTTTTGCGAGTGAATTAATGAGCAGTCTTTTTTCACTGACCGCTGCTTACCTAGAGTCAGTTGATTGTTTTCGGCAGCAAGACTGTTCTCCATCTCCAGAGCTTTCGATGTCCACCAGAGCTCTCGGTCTTTCCTTAGGCTCTTCACTACATGGTGCTTGAGGGGTTTGCGTGCACAATCGTACTGATTGTCTGCTGGTATGGATTTCCTGGTATCAACCATGGATTTCCTGGTATCAACCATGGATAGGGATCTCGACGACATCCAGTGGTCTTGTGGTCGAATCAGGGAAGTCGGAAAGACGGCACTGAACGCAGTTAGCATAGCTATTTTCACATTTTGCGATGCTTTGTCCACGTGCTCAGTACCAAGGCAGTGGTGGTTGGGCTAGCTCAGATCGATACTGTTGAGCTATGGTAGTTCTTCGAAGATGGTGGAGTGGCATACTTCTCGCTGAATTGCGATGGCCTGTGTCCACCGATATCGTTCCCTGCGCACTAGGGATAGGAAAGCCTTCCACAGACATGTGGGTCGGATAATTGAGTCATTGGCTCCGGGTAGGGTTCTCCCGAGAGAAATCCCTACTATCTTGTGGGACAAGCATTTGAGTTAAAGGTTCAAAGTGGGGTAGTCAAACAAACCCCTTTCATCGAACTGGGTAGCCGAGGTGCATCATTCGCCCTTGAAGCTCTTCGTTTACCACCCCCATCAACAACCCTTCGCCCAGATGATGCACTGCTGGTAATCCATCTGTTGGTCCCCTAACCAGTGTTCGGTATGTACACTACTGTCAAGCAAAATAAACCAAAACGACTCCTCAATAAACCTAGAAGACCTGATCTACGCTGCAGCCTTCCATTTCCGTACACTTTCTCAAATTTCGAGACAGGCATCTCTTACTAGTAATTTCTTTTCCTTCCTGCCGGGGTATGTTGAGTCACTGGACTACATATAAAAACCCCCTTCCTCGATCGTGCACCTCAGGCCGCTTAGGACGAACTCAGCTGTCTTATAGTCCACTCTTCGGGTACCAGGCGATCCCAGAACAGTGGCTTGAGGTAACTGCGATGTGGGAACTACACTCAGCTCTAGGACTGAAAGTGCTTTATTGGACTGGACCCTAATAAACAGCCATCTTTGCGCTGTGCAGTTCCCTGGTTCAGTTGAGATCAGTGAGGGTTGATGTGATAAGCTATATTTGTCGTGTATTCATAAGCTCTGATAGACTGCACTTATGAAGCTGAAAAAGACGAGTTTTATCGAGATCTGTCACGACTACATCAGTCATAAAGAAGAACGGATATAGTGTTCGAGGCGGGTGCTATGAACAGCTAAGTTGAACGATCAGGTGCGGAAGAAGCATAGCTAGGTGGTCGATTTCGTGTTAATACTCAGCATGCGGATCATGAAGCACAAAGTCTTCAGTTGTGTGCTGGACGCCATCCGTTCCTGGCACGACCAAACTAACACTGGATATTGCCGAGATAAGCAGACATTATTGCTGTCAGAAAAGCCATACCAGTAACTAACGACTACGGTGGCGCACACAGATCTCTCAAACGCAGGATAACCGAGAGCCTGAAGAATCAGAGGAAATGTTGGTGGCGAAGGTCAATGGCGCACACAGATCTCTCAAACGCAGGATAACCGAGAGCCTGAAGAATCAGAGGAAATGTTGGTGGATTTCGAAGGTCAAGGAGATGGATGGGGTTTTCGCTGCAGCCAACTGCCGCGTTGTGTTTCATCTGATCGACCAACCGGCAAGACGAAGTCGGTGAAACACTATGTGAAAAAGGCAGTTCACTCACAAAATCACCGTCTTAGGCGATGGGCTGAACACTTTGAAGAACAGTTCAACTGACCTCATTCAACACAACCTATGGTAGAACCAACGAGCCTAAATGGAATACCGTTGACAACAGAAATACAGCGTAAAATACCATTCTTCCGATCCGACAAGACACCCAGCCCGGAAGGCCCACACCTTACACTCTTTAAAGGTGGCGAACAGCCTAACGACCTGACTACGGAAGATTTCGAACGAAAACAGAATCGCAGTAGAGTGAAGTGCCTCTTTAATGATATCAGTATTCGAAGAGGGTACAAGAACGTCATATGCATCCAGCCTGTTATCCGTTGAATCCAAGGTGCTCGCTGGCATCATTTTGTGCAGGTACAGCAGGACTATCCATACTGATTTATGCGTCAGAAACGTGGCCTCTACGCGCAGAGAACGTAGAAAAACATTTGTTTTTTGACCATCAGTGTCTCTGAAGTATTGGCCGGGTCTGGTGGGAACATATGGGTGGCAATGCTGAGGAGCACCATATGGCTTTTGGGAATAAAGAAAGGTACTTTGCATGTCTCAGCTCTTTTTCCTTAACTCTGTGATGATTCAAAACGACAGAGGGGCGGGCAGTCGATGCCCTGATGAAGAAGCATGAAATTACTAATTAGTAAAGTCAATCGAATTGACAAATATCGCATCCCTGAATGAAGAACCCGGGACTTGATTCACCAATGATAGGTGACATTAGGAGATATGACTCAGCCCAGGAGCTGACCAAAGCTATCACTTTCAGTGTGGGACTACTCAGTTTCCCGCTTCATCATACGGCCAGATTGATCCAACATCAACTCACTGAATATATTGTCAAATCCAAGGCATAGTTCTCCCTTACCTATATCATACTTTTCGGTGACCGAAACTCTAGCGCCTGGAGCCAAAGTGCCCTTGGTATGTGGCTGGTAGTTGGTTAACTGAACGGAAACGACTTGCCGGAAGAGTAACTGAGCAGCGGAAGAGAATAGTAGTAATCAAGTGGGTCTTGATGTTATTCTAGTCCTACGGTTCAAAAAGACAAGTTAGGTGGGTTTGTGATAGGAACGCGAAACACTGACGTCAAAAGTCGTCCAAGGGACCTAAGCAACATTCGCTTAGAAATCGAATGGTCAATCCATTTGCGTACAGCTAGAGCTCTGGCAACCGATAGAGAAAGATTAATTCATTTCGGTTCTCATCTGTGGATTTGCAAGTATCATTCACGAAGAAAAATTAGCTGCTACTCTAATTCTCACACACTGGTGTAACCAAGACATTAATGAAGCAGATAACGAGAATAGGAAATTGGTCAACTAACCTCTCCATTACGAGGCCCATGAAGGATCATGACCATTGTATTATTGCATTCGGGGATCACCGTCTTCAGATACTTTGGGTGGATTCCTATGGCTGTAGTTAAGTGAAATGCCGTAAACTCACCTTCAAGTACTTCTCCGGATCGTGTCACACAGGTACAAAGTCCAGAATCCACTTTGGTGATAGTGACCTAGGGGAAGATGAAAAACTCTATGGAAAAGCTAACTTTTTGTCTGTAGTATTTTCCATTCAGATAGTGACGGTCCAGAAGTCTGACCAATAGTTTGGGTCGAACCCATGAATATGGGTCGTGGGGTTTGGGCTGATGACTGAAAAAAGAAATGCGCACGAGAGGAGTGAACTAAAATGGAAAGAGCATCGGACGGAGTTGAATAAGTTTAGCCAATGAAATATACTTGAATTATAAGAAAACATATTACGCATCTCCAGAAGACCGGGCTAACTGATACCAACCGAAGTGTCCATTCGAGAGAGGTGTTTTCACTGTGATAGGGCAACTGTTTCTAATGCGATCAGTAGGCCAACAAAAATGTGACAGCACGTGTGTTTTTGAACAGAAAATGACATTGTGATGAGATCATATGAATGATGTGGCATTCACTAATTCTAAAAGTATGTATTCCACCGTATCCATAAGATAACTTGCATAATGGATGTCAAGCCTATCATCTGAGTCAAACAAGTGACCTTTACGCCATTCAGGCGTAAAGATAAGAAAGAAATCGTAGAATAAAATAGTTTTGTGAAGCTGTACTACAACAGCAAAACAAGACAGTTGAGAGCTCCGTCAATATTGAGTTAGTGTACACTGTTCCACCTCATTCTCTAGCTTCATATCCATTGTTGTGTGATATAACCAACTGTCGCAGAGGTGGAATTCAGTAAAACTTAGAAGGGCCCACAAGTTGAACATGATAGTAGCATCTCGATTATGTTTGCGTCACAACAGAGTGGCAAAATCGCGGCGATTGGTGGGCATTTCCTTTTTGTGAGTAATTATTAAAAACCGTAGCTGCATATGGCTAACGAAGAACGCAATTTCCATTCTTTGGGGGATTTCCAATACAGAATTCCAAGCTTGTTCATAATATTACATCTATAGACTCGAATTTTCTTGACAAAATTTGGTAGTTCATTGATTCATTTCCCCTGTCACATAAGACTATTCTTGTGATGACAGAGTAAAACGAAAGGAAACCAAAGACGCTAGGATCTTGACCATCGGCCTGGGACCAACTGTCGGCTACGTCTTTGTGTTACCATCATGCCGAAAACACAGGCCGAAGGTGCGATCGTCCGAATCATTGGTGAAAGCTTGCGCCAGTGAAGTACTGTTTTTTATGGGTAGTGCTCCAGCATAAGCAGGCGTTGGTGAATGTCTTATTCTCATAGAATAATAAATGTAGACAGTAGCTACGTCAAAACTACGGTCACAGCCTGAAGTAGGCGCTGGTGACATCGTCTGGTTGAAACAGAAATTGCGATGTCCTCTGTTTGGTTCGTGGCGTAAAGTTGTGACTGTAATCCGGTTCCGATTAGCGCATCCCTAATCGGACAAGCCAAATCAAACGGTGACAAAACATTAGTTACTCGGTCACAAGATCAACCAAAAGTATGGTTTCTAGTTTCCGAGACTTGCAAAGTATGGTTGTTTGCGAACTGCATAAATAGTTTAGGTGACGAGCAGATACTTCGTGTCATAATGAAATAGATATTGGTCTCCGACACATATGGGTGTTGCATTGAACAAGTGATTGTACGGGTAGTTTCATACGTAACCGTTTTTTGCAGTTATAGTGACCCAATCTTTGACGTATGGATCACACATCCCCGGAATTACAGTAGTTGCGGAAGACGGAAGATAACTATGGTGACTGACACGGTCGCAGCAGAGCTGTGAGTAAACAGTCTAATTGAGGCACTGTTTGCTCACCTTATGATCAGGATCAAGGATTAACCCAACTTCAGCGTCTAGCGGTTTTGCAGAACTTCGAAAGGCGTACTGCTAGGGAAATACATCGCGATATTTTAAATATTGTGCCAAGTGAAGTATGAAGAGGCCTTTGTGCAGCGTATTCGGCTGAAGAATATCATAAATGGGAGGTTCAGCTGCGTCGCCCGCTAGAATCAAATTGGTGTGCAAGTGAGTCTGCTTCGCAGATGGAATGGCCGCTTCCCTCATACTTTCTCACCCACTCCCTTTATCGGATAGCCAGATCTGTTCGTTAACTCAGAGATGTGCAAAACAGTTCGGCGTAAAGTTCGATTTAATGCAGTCTGAGGCTTGCATACGGATTCACAGAGTAGACGATGCGACAGAATGATGTGCGAATGTACACACAGAACAGCCAGTACTTGCATGCTCGACTCACACCAGATCCTAAGATGTTTATTTCGAAATATGCTACCATTCATCAATATACTGGAATAACAAATACCCCAGAGTGCATTTTCTGCAACTCAAGGGTGTGACACTGATCTACCTTGCTAACGTTCCTCACTCGATGGAGATACTGACGGTTCCGGGCGAGATGGCTCAGTGGTTAGGGCGTGAATTTATTGACCGTGAGGTCCGTGGTTCGAACCCGAGCTCTGTCTCTCAACTCCCCCTTTTTAGGCTGGCGGTTTCCCAAACTTCGTGCTTCCTTCTGGTGGCACGGCAGTTAGGCACCGAAAGGGTGCTGAGGCTGAACGGCTTCTATTTTTTCAAATTTCCATTGACAGGTCCAACCGATAAAAAAATCAAACGATCTTCTTTCAAATTTCGTCCGGCACCTTCCTATCTCTATTCAACCGATTGCCAGGACTTGCACCATCTTCTGCTGCAAGTGGTTACTTGATACTTTTTGTTACTTGACATTTTTGAAATGGATGATCAGTGAACTGCTAAAATTACCGAAGTGAAAGCCATCGCACGAAGTTAAGCCTATCCCCCCCACTGATACGAGCGCTGAAGGACTGCCAGTGGCTGCAGGCAGTATGCAGCTGTATTCAAGTTTACGGCAGCTTGGAAAGCCATTGCATTTCGCCGGCCCAGTGAGATGGTCTGTGTTCCTGATCGTTATCAATGCCTTTCAAGGTTGCCAGAGGTGTTTGTGGTACGCGGAGCTTCTGGTGACATAATAGAGCTCAATTTACAGAGCGCGGCTTTGCTAATTTTTTCTGTTTCTCAAGGGAACCAATACTTGCGTACCCCACCCCATTACCAATGCTCAAGCTGAACGCTTTGCTGATGCCTTTAGACAAGGTTTATTAAGCTGGGAAGGAGGTGACACCTCAAGCGAAACGTGTCCCCTTCTTGCAGTCATACCGAGTGAAACCCGCCAACTCAATGCCCACTCAGCAGGCGAAATGGTTCCAGGGAGACATGCGTTTTTCCGCCCAAGAATTGTAACTTTTGGAGCTGTCATATGGGGAAATAACACGAGACAATATCATGTTCCTTCATTTGTAAGTTTCGGGGAGGTTAGAGAAAATGGACGCCCCAGGTGGTTGTGCAATGCAACAGAAAGTGGATTAGAGTGGGAGAATTCATCGAGACGCACCATGTCAGTTCAATAAACATTCGACATTCACCCGACAGTATAATTTAACATCACATTATTCCCACCTGTGTTTTGAGTGCGGTGCTTAGCAAGCCACTGAGGCCATTCTCCGTGTTCGATTCCTCTAGCACGCTTTGCGATCCGGACCACCTATCAAAAGACAGTATCAGTCCTCATTTTTACGCACACGATGAGTAAGCGAGCTTTACTTAATGAGAGATGTACACGTACGACCTGTTGACCTACATTATCGTTTGACGTGTTAGTGGTTGCTTTCCCGCTGCGCAATTGGTTTCTTTTTTTGAACTGATTGTTTTGCTGAGTCACATTTGCTCAAGAGTACTTCCAAAACTGGGCCAACAATACCGCATCTGGGCATTTTTCCTTAGACTGGGTGGCCAACAACTTTATGCAAGTGACAACATCTACGTAGGGATAACTGAAATGAAACACGGTGCTAAGTACACCTTGAACTGCTTGAGATAATCCAGTAACAGTCGTTATATCGATACAACTGCAAGGTATTATTTTATACAACTAATGCCTGAAGGCCGGTACTCATCACCGACGACAGGAACACCAAATGAGAACACTGGTGCCGGTAATCATTCGGACCCGACTAAACCTTTCCCATACTCGTGTTGGATCAACTCGCCCATGAACATTTACTCGAAATCCTTTGATTATACACTTTTATGCTTTATGACCGAGTGGATAGATTTGACTAAGCAACCGTCCGATTACCGTGGTTGTCATTCCAGAAGTTGATGTGGTCATGTGGCTAGGTTAATATCATACTGAGAGTTAGCGGGACCACTTTAACGATAACAGAGTAGAGTACACATTTGATCCACAATGCCGCCACCACCCACGCTAAACACGCTCTCCGGCCGACTCTAATGAGGCGGAGAGCATCCATATCCAATGTAACCTCTTTTTCGGCAAGGCCACGCGCTTTCCATCGGTGTGGACGTATATTCGTTGGTGTTGTGACAACAGGTCGGCAAGATACCTATCTAGCAGCTAAATTATGTATTTCTCTTGACAATGTAGGCGCCATTGCTTGACCTAGCGATCACCTGGTCTTCTGGTTTAGTCTACCCAGGATAACCATCTGATGAACATTCCTACTTCTTGCTCGACACTCCAGTGTTATTCAGCCTCATTGAGCTAATGTATTCTGACTGTAGTGCCTTGAGTTTTAGTTCCGCTGGCTTCCGCACTCATACGAGTGTCCCGTGTGTACCACGCTAGGAAGGATATTTTTAAGCCCGTCCCAGTAGTACGCTGTACATGACGAGAGCTGATCAGTGAACCAGAGGTAACAGCAACGCGACTGGCTTTCGTACTCTTGAAGTAATAATTTTTTCACTTGGCTGCACAATACTTACTGACTCAGCAGCTCAGTCAACCAAAGCTCAAACAATTGCCTATCCTTCGTGCTTGAAAATACGAGGGCTACATTTTCGTTGATGTCTTGCTACGATGCACCTTACGGGAAAAAGTTGAAATTAGGTGATGAGAGAGGGTGCCTGAGCAATAGTGGTCCAGGTCTTGTATATCACGAAGAATGTGCTCTGTTTTTCCAAGTTGACAGAAGGCCCACAATAAGAGAGTTAGAGAGAAAACGACTGAGTGGCTGCCTAATTGCCCAGCTCAACGTACAATTCGCTGCCATGTGCAGAATTCCCCAGGTATGCGGACCTTTGGGCGATGAAGTTGCCGGATTTTATCTTACTCAAACGTTTGGTAGTAGTAACTAAAATTGGCAGTTTTTGAGGAAGTGTGAGTATGGGTGCGACATGGATATTCGTTTAACGGTTCTTAACCGGGAGACATGTCAATCGTCGGTACCAGTAAATTGCCTTACAATCCCAAAGAATCGTTCTGCAATATTTTGCACACCGACAGTCCTAAAAACTCTCTCTTATTCGGAGTTCGTTCAGCCTGTGGTCATCTGGAATCTGTTGCTTTAGCTTTTCGTGACGGACCTTTCGTTCCGCGCAGCAATCACAGTGGGACATCTGTGCTCCTGTCACTGCAAGAAAAATACACCACAACAGCACTGAATGCACAGTGAAGCAGACAAGTTTGACTTTTTCTGACTACGTCATGAGGACATATGGGGCAGGTCTGTGTAAACTCTCTAAAAGCCTTCAACATACCACCACCTGTGGCAACAATGCTGCAACAGGACCGCGACAAATTATACGAAGGGATTGTTGTGGAATTAAAAATCAGTTAGGAAACATGAGCAGTCTGGTGACGATCCAACAGAAGCACTCGTAGATGCATAAATTCCAATATCCGGTCGGACCATCTGGATGGAAATAGATAGCCAGCACGCTACCGAAGTCAGTTTTTGATCATTCAGTCGAACCCCGGGAGGGTCAAGTGAACCACATTCTGGAGAATCGGTCACACCGGCAGTAATCAGTCCTATACACTCTCAACAAGCCATCCGCTGATCCTCTTTTCGAAGGCAATAATTCAAATTAGGCACGAAACCGTACTCATTTCGAACATCTATGATTCAGCATGCGTAGAAGTTGGCGGGCCAAGTGTAGACTGCTTGTAGTAAATGTAAGGAAGAACGATGGGTAACAAGCGGTTACTCGAGGAGCCAGTCGAAACGTCACCGATTGGTGTAGATGTGTGGCGCTATATCCTGTCCAAGTGCGAGTTTATCACAATGCCGATCGGCCGCTCCTGTTTAACTACTGGCCGGGAGGTTGCAGTTTCGTGAGATGTGCACTGCTGATGATTATCAGTAAAAATGAAGTAGCTGTAGAGTACTTCTTCAGCAAAAGCTAGTTTCACCTACAGGGGGGAATTCCCGTTGAAGGGACACACCATAGTCTAGTGTGCTAACCAGGTTGTCCCGTCTGCGCTGCCTAAGTGAAAGACCGTTTTATCGGTCTCGTCACGAGTTCGATGACACCAGACTACATAGGTCAAACTTTGAAGGGGGCGATAGGAGAGCAAGTAAACGCGTAGAACCCTAGGTTGGTCATCGCAAACTGATTTCATAACCATCCCGGGTAGATCGGGTACATAGAAAATCAACACCCAAGCTATCGGAAACAAAGGACCTACCTGGGTTTATGAGGCGGTACGTAGGAATCCCGCTCTATCTTGCTGTAGGGAAATCGGTCGTTGTAGGATGAGAAAGACTTGCATGGATCGGCTGCTCCCTGTTGCTGCAGTTGTTCCTCTTCCGCTTTGTATAAATCCACTTCTGATTGGTCTGAAACACAGCGAAAAAAGAGGGACCTTTGTCAGTGAAACTGGTTTGAATTCGACAAAAGATCGTGTCATTTGGGATAGAGCGTAACGATAAGCTAAGGGATATTGAAGAGTTGGTTAAACCCACAGTTCGAAGCTACCAATGGACGACGTACGACGGGTTAGTTATGCAAGTCGTCGTGTTCAGAAAGCATTGAAAGCCTCGGCAATGTGCGGTAGTGAAACTAGATAGACTGCCTCGAAATGAAAGCGCTATGCGGGATGGAAATGTCAAAAGTGCCACTGCGAAAATCCCATCACTGAAAACAAATGGGTACTACGGCCAATCAGAGAGATAACAACCGGTGCGAGAGAGATGAATTCAAAAATTTAACCAGTGTACCTAGACGCGAAGCACAAAAAGTCCTTGGGTGGTATCGGAACAGTCAACTTACTCAAACAGTTCGCATACTTGCTGTATTCCTTTTCAGGGACAAGACGCAGCATGGGCTGAAGGACGGAGGCGATCTCCTTGGAAATTGTAAACTTGACGATAACTCGTCCAGTGTCACCGTCCATTCCATTGATCTAGCGGTAGATCAACAAAGAATAGTATGAAGATGGCAAAGTCCAGTGACTGTAAAGGTCTGGCACGAGCAGCTCATACGGAACTTCATAAACACAAACAAAACTTCCCAGTGTTTCCGACAGCCAAGGTAAGCGAGGTAGTTAATTTTGTTGACGCACCTGGCCTCATCAGTCAGACATGAAGCTTAGTTAAAAAGAAAGGCTTCAAAAACAACAAGGAATCAAAAGCCCAGAAAAAGTCGTTTCATGTAAGGAAATGTCTCATTCAGGAAGAGGCTCTCCAGGGATTTTTTCGAGTTCAAGACAATATACCAGCTACGGGAAAATAACTGAAGGGAAAGACTGGGTGTTTGACGGAAAGGTCGGGCTATTCACAAGTCTTACCTAGTAATGATTGACTTGAGATTCTCAGAGAATATGCAATCATCATCATCATCGACAGCATGACATCAGTGTTCAACACCGATGCTTCACTGCCATACAACCATGACTTATTTGAAAGCCTTATTGCGAAAAGAATAAAGGTGGATTGGGGAGGGACTTAGTGCTAGCTTAACACAATCATTCCGAGGTGCCTACACCTCCAGACATTCACTCAGGCAATCTGGACAGAAACTGACAACAAGAACGCCACTGACATCGGTTGGCAAGCATATCTTGTAGTGTCTCCAACCAGGCACAGTGAGGACAACGCGGTCCCCATCCTGGAAGACGAGTAGCACCGACAGCACCCAAGCGTTTCGTGATCTCCTCCATACTCCTCTCCAAGTCAAGGGTTGGCCACCTCTCTGTTTACGCCACTCTGACTTGGGCATAGAAAACAGCACTCTTTTCGGCAAACGATGGTTCGGCATACGTAACATATGTCCCAACCAACGCATCTTCTGGTGCTGGACACATTCTTCAATGGAAGTACCCGTTACACA